AGTCTAGATATTGATTTTTATTTGTTTAACCAATATTTGTTGATTGCCAAGTATGTATCGGGCACTTGACTTTGTTAGGGTATTAAAAAACACAAGGAGTCTCAGTTTACATAGGGGGAAAACAGACAGTAAACAATAAGTAAATAATGTCAGGTAATAGTAAGTTCATGGAGAACATTAGAACAGGGTAAAGGGACAAGAGTGACTGGGATGCTGTTGTAGGTCAGGCATGGGATATGGTATTTTAGATACAGGGCCAGTCAGGGAGTGTCTCTTGGATGAAGTCACATTTCATAGAGATACCTGAGTGCAGTGAGGGAGTGAGCCTTGTGGATGTCTGGGAAAGTGCATCTCAGGCTAGGGCCTGAAGGCAAGAACGGCTTTGGCTCAGAAGATGAATAGCAAGGGCACAGCCATGATTGAAGCAGAGTGACTGAGGGTGAGGATGGTAGTATTCTCATTTCCAATCTCCTGCTCACCATCCCTGTGTTCATATGTGCCTTTGTCTCTTTAAGGGCACTCCCATCCTTCTGGTGGCCCAGTGTTTTTTTTTTCTTTTCTTTTTTTACAGCTCTACTTAATTTCCCAAAATACCAATTAGTTTGCAGTTCTATCAGCTTTCATGTGCATTTTTTCCCGTTTGGTTGTCTCCTAACCTGATACATATCCTATGTAATAAAAGCCTAATATGCAAATCGATCGAATGGCAGAACAACCAGTGGAACAACCTGTTGCTATCATGCCAACTGACCACCAGGGGGCAGACGCTCAACACAGGAGCTGCCCCCAGCCTGTAAGCCCCAGGTCAGCCAAGGCAGGTGCCAGCAAGGGCCCCTCAATTGCCCTACGGGTTGCCCTGCAGAAGGAGACAACTGGTAGTGGTCGCAGGAGGTGGGAATGGCGAGTGGGTGGCACCAGGCTAGCCAAGGTGGGTGCCAGCAGCCCCCCGCCCCCCGCGATTGCCCCACTGGTTGCCCCACAGATTGGCCCTGATCGCTGGCCAGGCCTAGGGACCCTACCCATGCATGAATTTTGTGCATTGGGCCTCTAGTCTATATATAAAAGCCTAAGCGACCAAGCAACCAGAACAACCAGAATGACCAGTCGATCAGTCGCTATGACACGCACTGATCACCAGGGGGCAGATGCTCAATGCAGGAGCTTCCCCCTGGTGGTCAGTGTGCTCCCACAGCCAACCTCCCATGGCCCCTCCCCCCAGCCGGCCAGTTAACCTCCCACAGCCCCTCTCCCTGTTTAGCCGGTCCCCCCTACCCCCATAGGTCTCAATCACCAGCCAGGCCAAGGGACCCCACCCATGCACGAATTTGTGCACCGGGCCTCTAGTTTACAAAGAAATAAGGGAAAAATTACCTCATATGTTGTAATAAGATTCTGCAGAATTTGAACTTCCCTAGAGCTTCTAGGAAGAGTAGATAAAACCTGGCCACTGGGGAAAAAATAAAACAGAATTTTGATGCTAAATAAAAAGCAAAAATGAAATAAATTATACTGTTAGGGGCTTTGAGATAATTACAAAAAGGAAACAAACTTTAACTGTTAGAAGAAAAGAGGATCTTGCTACAGACTATGTGGTGTTAAAAAGAGAACATATATTCACTCATTCTTTCTTCTCCTACACAATTGCAATATCAACAGCTCTCTTAAATGGGAGTCAGTTTGCAGAGTGCTTTCTCTTTTCTGTGTGTGTGTGTGTGTATGTATGTGTGTGTGTGTGCGTGTGTGTGTGTGTGTGTGTGTGAGAGTCGATTTTAAAAATTAAATATTTGGTGCATAGGGAATATTTATGCCAACACTAGCTTATCCTATATAATAAAAGTCTAATATGCAAATTGTCCCCTTGGGAGTTTGACCAGGAGACCAGGGATTCGATCGCTCGCTATGATGTGTGCTGACCACCAGGGGGCAGCGTGGAACATGCAGTGAACAGCGATGATGGTGGTACACTGAGGGAGTGAGGGAAGGAGGAGGTGGGGAGGCCAGGAGGCGGGGAACCTGATCGGCCCTGATCACCAAGCAGGCCTAGGGGACCCTACCCCTGTACAAATTTTGTGCACTGGGCCTCTAGTTACATAATAAAATTAATGCGTGTGAAGCCATTACCCCACTTAAGAAATCTAACTTTATTGGTGTCTTTGAAGTTCCCCACCCCTGCTCCCCAGCCACATCCCCAACGTTATCCACTACCCTAAATTTTCACTTTGCTTATTCTCTTGCTTTTCTTTATTGAATGGATTCTTAAACACATGTATGGATTTTTGTATGTGTCGATTCTCAAAATACCCTTACATTTGCTTGATTTAACTATATAAAATAGTACAGAATGTCTTCTTCTGTATCTTGTTTTTTTCACTCAACATTGTATTTTCAAGATTACTATTTGTGTTGAAGTACCTAATCATAATTCATTCATACTTATAAGAATTTGTCTACAAGTGGAATTGATATTTCTTCAGGGTATGCACAATTTAAATTTTGTGAGATAGTGTCAAATTATTCCTCAAACTTTTTGTTTCCATTTGTATTCTCACAAGTAGTGGAAAGGATTTCCCATAACTCCTCCTCCTTGCTAACGTTAATGCTGTATGACTACCTTTTTTAGTCTAATGGTTGTGAAATGGAATCTTGTGACTTACCAATGAAGTATAATTATTTCCAGTAGATTATTCTTTGTGGCAATAGGCTAGTATGATTTCTTCCTATAGTCTAAATGCTGATCTTTTTTCAGTTGTATGTATTGAAAATATCTTCTACCAGTTTGTCTTTTCTCTCTTTATGATGTATTTTTATCCATCATTTCCTTATGGGTTTGTGGTGTTTTTGTTTTTGTTTTTTTGTCTGTATGTTAATAACTCTTTTCCGATCCCTGGGTCATATTCTCCTTTTGTCTTTCTCATTTAAGCTTTTAATCCATTTGAAAGTTATTTGTTTGAGTGCAATGTAAAGAAGAAATTGAGTTCTTTTTTTTATTCTTACTAGCAGTATAATTTATTAATCGCTAATACTTTCCTCAGGGTTCAGCTATGCCAATTCTGCCTTATATAAGTTTTCATACATTTTTCTTTTTTTTACAGAGATAATGCTGGTTCATCACACCATTTCCTCTTCCTGGGCACACAGAAAAACTGCATTTCCCAGCCTCTCCTGTGGTTGCATTGAGACCATGTGCCTGAGTTCTTGACAATGGGAATGTGTGTGGGAGTAGCAGGTGGTAGTCTTCAATACTTATGTTTCCTCTCACCCTGTGGCTAGAAGCAAAGAACCCAAAAATGTGGAGCTCCAAAATGGAAGCAGCTCAGGTCTCCAAGTTGCAGGAGAGCACCAGGGAGAACCCTCGTCACCTTCAACAACTGGTGATGTGAGTGAGAAATAAATCTGTATTCTGGCAAGTAAAACTGTTTCAGGGTGAACTCATTATCCTATATAATAAAAGCCTAATATGCTAAGTGTCCAACCATGTGTTCAACTGTTCGACCAGTCCCTATGATGTGCATTGACCACCAAGGGGCAGATGCTCCAACCAGTAGGTTAGCTTGCTGCTGGGGTCCAGCCAATCAGGACCAGTCTCCTGGTCAAACTCCTAAGGGGACACTTTGCAATATATATATATATAACATTAGATGGAATTCATATGAATGCTTATCAGTAATAGAATATTGGTAGTACCTCCTCATCCTAGAATATTTTCTAGCCATTATAAAGAACTAGAGGCCCGGTGCACAAAAATTTGTGCACTCAGGGGGTCCCTCAGACTGGGACAGTCTGGGTTGGTGGTCAGTGTGTGTCATAGTGACCAGTCATTCCCAGTCATTCTGCTGTTAGGGTCAATTTGCGTATTACCCTTTTATTGTATAGGATAGAGGCCTGGTGTATGGGGGGCGGCCAGCTGGTTTGCCCTCAAGGGTTTCCCGGATCAGGGTGGGGGTCCCCACTGGGGTGCCTGGCCAGCCTGGGTGAGGGGCTGAGGGCCGTTTTCAGGCTGGCCACACCCATTTCAAGGTGAGGGTTCCCACTGGGTTGCCTGGCCAGCCTGGGTGAGGGGCTGATGGCTGTTTGCAGGCTGGTCAAGCCCCACAGTAGGGACCCTCACCCCATGGGGTGTGGCCAGCCTGGGTGAGGGGCTGATGGCCATTTTCAGGTTGGCCATGCTCCCCAGTGACCCAAGCTCCCAGCCTCTCCTTTTTTTTTCTTTTTCTTTCTTTCTGGGATTTATTTATCTTCTATAATTGAAACTTTGTAGCGTTGAGTGGAGCCCAGGACTAGCCAGGGTAGGCAGGAAGCTTGGCTTCCTCCATCTCCAGGGGCAACCCAAGCCTCCTGCTTGCTCCAGCTCCATGGCCACTGCCATCTTAGTTGGGTTAATTTGCTTACTTGCTCCTGATTGGCTTGTGGGTGTGGCTTGAGCATAGCAAAGGGATGGTTAATTTGCATGTTTCTCTTTTATTATATAGGATGGGATAGATTTATAATAATTAACTTGGGGAAGATGTACATCATGTACTAAGGGAGATAAGCAAGAAGCAAGTAGAAAACTCTATGAATATTGCTCCATTTTTGTAAAATAAATAAATTAGAAAGAACAAGGAAAACTGTATGTGCTAAAAGCAGGAGAAAAGTTATAAATAAATAAACAACACATTGTTAACATTGATTTGGATGGTAGAGAATGGCAATTGATGGACTGGGTAGATGACGGAAGGGAGGAGCAAATAAGATTGTTTTAAAAAGAAAGGTCTTTATAATTCTGATAGGAGAGATGACATTCAACTAATGTAAAACTATACATGGGTATACACAAATATATAAAGAAATGCATAAAAGAATGATCATTAAAACGTTAATTATGTTTTCTCAGTGTGATGAGATTTTAGTGTTTCCTCCCTAATATTATGCTTTTCCACATTACTTACTTTTTAAAATTTACTTTTTTAACAAAAGGCTTCTTATTGTCTTTAGTCAGGAAAAATACTATTATAAAGCTACTCTGACTGTGAAAAAGCCACTCCTGAGCTTCTCATAATACTGGTGACCTTCTCCTTAAGCACGACCTTTATGGTTTCAAATGTTCTCTGAGCCCATCAGTGAAGCATAGCCTTTTGTTGTATTTTCACTCTAGTATGCCCTGTTCCAGGAATTTTTGATCCCTTTCTTACCATCTGCTGCAAGAGTTCTGACACTTGTAGTTCACTTAGTGCAGGCCATTGTTTTCTCCAAGCTTCCAAACACCATTGAACAGCAGTTAACTCCACCTGTCTCTCAAGGATCTAACTAGAATGCTAAATCTTGTGTTACGGGTGAGTGCACCTCCTTAGGATTATAGCCTCAATTCTTTATTAACATACTCAACACTTCCATAGCGAGATTATATCATGACTTAACCCTAGCTGTTGGTTTGGAGGTTGTATAGGGAAGTTGGAGTAGATCCTGAGGGCTGACAGTAGGAAATGGCATTACAGAACTGAGCTCCCCAATAGCATTGGAGGTAACAAGATTGCTATATAATAGAAGCCAGGTGGCAGTGCTCAACTGCCAGGTAACAAATTGTGCACAATTATTGTAATAAGCAGCAAGGTCAGAGTGGCAGCCAGAGAGGGACATGATCTTCAGAAACCTATTGTTAAAGAGAACACAGAGTTCTTAGCAGCAAAATAGATGGGAAGCCAACAAAAGTATTGCTCAACCTTTACAAAAAAAATAAATCAAGAATGGATAATGAGGAAGCTAAGGACATCTATTCCTATTCATTGCCCAGTTTCTAGACCTGGGCCACTTCTTAGATCCAGAATTTCTTGCCTGAAGGAGAAGTCAGATCCCAACTAAGAAAGACCCTGCAACAGCATAGAAAAGATATATGATCATGACGTCCTCAGAAAATTCCCAAAGGGACCTATGGCAACTTACTCAGGAAAATGCACATTGGGAAAAGGGGATTACTCAAGCATTTTGAGGTCTTTTGGATTCAGGATCCAAGATGACACTGAAACATGGAGAGCTGGAGTCATCGTCTAAGTCCAGCTGATAGTAGAATCACTGGGTCCATGGATTCCTCCCATGGTCATTTCTCTGGTCTCTAAATGTGTACTTGAAATGGACATACTTGGTAGTTGAACCACCCCCCCCCCATATTGGTTTCTTGCCTATAAATTAAGAGCTATCATAGTTAGAAAAGCCTAAAGGTGAAACTGTCCACTCCACTCCCACCCTTTCACAGCCATGATAGCAAAATTATAAAAAATGCATCTGGAGGAAATGGCAGGTATAAGTACAATTCTTAAAGACCTAAGATATAGTGATGGTGGTTCCGATCAAATTCACTTTCAATTCACCAATCTGGTTCCCACAAAAACCAAATGGATCCTAGAGGATGACAATGAACAATCAAACTCAACCAAGTAGGAATCCCAGTTGTAGTGACTGTACTCAATGTGGTA